CGCAGAACTTTCTGCGAGCCCAGCTGCGTCAACTTTGAACTTCCCTAATTATTATCCCGGCGGCACTGACACTGACTGATATGTTGTAACAAGTTATAGAAATCATCTCAAGCGACCTTCTTTACCTCTTGTGCTACTACCTACCACGTTTCCACTTTACTCTTTTTATAGGGGCAGCACACCGAGCATAAGCTCTCGATGAGCTATCGCCGCAGATTGAGTAAAGTTGAGTCCACTCAACTCGCGCTGCAGCTCGTCAAGAGCTTGCCAAAAATGAAATCTTCGACAGACATGATTGGCTCAGAATGTACTCATCTGTCCTATCTAGCAGGCGCACTGGCACTCTTGCGCGGATGCTGCTTGCCATCTGTCGCCTCGTCAACTAATGACTGAATGGGAGACAGTTCTAACATCGGACAGGAACACTCTGAAAAGAGTCTGACATATGATCTGGTTGTTATCGCGATTTTAGAATGCGCATTCACTGTACCAGTGGCCACACGTACAACAGAAAATCGTCCTTTTCTTGTGATAGAAAGATCCACCGGAAAGGTGTCATGTGGCCTCCATGAGCCTTTCCCTGGGGAAAGGTATGACGGTTCCCCATACCCGGGGTTCCTATAAGCTTTGGATAAGTCCAATGTCAGTCGAGGTCTAAACTATAGCTCACATTGAAGATTTTGCATCTCTGTCAAATGCTCGAACTTAGGTAAAGAGCTCTGTTTGACCCTCCACCAGTGGTCCAGTAGCAACTTATATAGAAGACCGTATCGACTCCAGCTGCTGCCCAAGTTGAAATCATAGAAGTAGCTAGCATGATGAGATACACGGCCCTCTCACTCACCCTTCCATACCAACCACTCCCTCCCCGACCCCGCATCTTTCCGAACTTCGCACTTCCTCTGCACTACCTCCACAACCTTCTCTCGCACACCCATCTTACCGCCCTTCATCTCCGCGCACAGCTCGACAAGCTCCTCCAACCCGACCGTCCGCCGCACACTGTGCTCGTGCCGCCCCTCCACCACTGCGCGGATCTCGCTTTCCGCTGGCAGCGTATGCGTCATCGGGTCCAACATGCGCCGGGCATACGGCGGCACAGCGAGGCGCGGTACAGTCCCGCGCTCCGGTGCATACTCGGCGAAGAATGTGCGCGCCACCCATGCATCAGACACGTCCCCAAGCGTGCGCGGCGACCACGCCGGCGTCGCCTTCTCCTTCCGCACGATGATGGTGTCCACGCCCGTCGTAAAGTCCGGGCTCGCCCCGAGCTGCACCGCACCCCCACGCACGTCAGCAGAACGCAGGCAGAGACAGCGCAGGCGCACGCACCGAGAACGCCGTCGCGAGGTTCAGATCCGTCTGCAGCGCGTCCGCGAACGACAACGCACGCGCACGCCGCAGCGCCGCGAGCGTGACTTTGAGCCCTGTCGGGCTCCGTACCATGAGCGTGTCCCGCGTGCGCGCGGCCCACTTGCGCACCGCGCCGTCCACGCCGCCCGTGGCGAGGGCGTCCAGCTCTGCCACGATCGCCTCGACGGTGTCGTGCCGGAACGCCGCGTCGAGCGCCACGCGGACAGCCCCAGCGAGCGGGCTGCCTGGCGTGGCGCCGGAGGCAGGATGGTACGCTTCAATGAGCGCGTTGATCTGTGCGTGAGAGGGCCTCTCGAGTGCGGCGAGGCGTTCGAGCAGCGCGGGAAGGTCGTGCGAGGGCACAAAGTGCGTAGCAAAGCCGTGCTCGCTGTGGGGTGGGATCTGAGTGTGGTGTGCGAGTGGAGGTGAAGAAGGGCGTACAAGACTGCGCGGCCTTGTAGGCTCTGGGAGGTGAGCGCGAGGTATGTTCCGAGCTCGCCGTCGATGCGGGAGAGAAAGAAGTTCATGCCGGCGTCGGTACAGTACCCGATACGCGTCTCGGGCGTGGCGAAGACGGTGTTCTCGGTAGCTATTCGGAATGGTGCGCTCGCGCTGAGTCCGGCCCCGCCACCCACTAGAAACTGTGGGTTAGTTTGAGTGCATTGATAGAGTCTCTGACTGACTAGTGATGCCGTCCATTACAGCGATGTATGCCATTGGAATGGTCGCAAGGATATAGTCAATCTCGAACCTGCGCAAAAGATAATGTGAGCAAGCACAAGACATATGAAATCACGTACTGTTTCCGGAAAAAGTTGATAGCCATTGGTAGCGTTTCCCGACGATATGCGTATGCGCGTACACCTGATATGATCAGTTGCGTCACTTCATGTAGGAAAAGGAATACGTACTTTCTACGTCGCCCCCGGAACAGAATGCCCGACCCACGCCTGTTCCTACAAGAATGCTCTGAGTATCAGCTTGGATCCATTCCTATCCAGTATGTGATCAGCAACAGAAAAATCCAAATCCTGAAGCGGATTGTAGAGAATTCAGTATCTTTATGAGGTGCGCACAAGCCCAGAGTTTAGACTGTCCGATAAGCAGATGAGTGTCAAGTTGGGCTACTCGCTATACACGCGTAGGCACGCTAGCACGACAACGCGAGGTATGTGGGTGTTACAATCAAGCGAGGAGACTCGTTTGTCCTTGGAAAACAATCTTACTCACCTCGAGCTGACCCCGTAAAAGATCCAGCACCTCGTCATTGAGGGAGTTCAGCTTGTCTGGGCGGTTGAGGATGAAGTAGCGAAGATTTCTGTCGGATTTGAAGAGTACGGGAACTGTCTTTGGGTAAAGATCCACGCGCGGACACCGCTCAGACATTCTCTAATTCGCGATGCAGGAGTATGACGCATTCACCTCATTAGGGACCTCTGAGGACGAGTGCGTAACTAGATGCCTCTGTACGGCGGCGGTCCTCTGAGCAGCAACGTGGGAATTTGAAGGTGCCATTGAGCTGAACGATCTGAACGATGGCCCGCACGCGCACGAAGCCCGCAGATTTCTTATATTGATGATAGATATGGTGGAGATGGAGGCCGTACGGATCCTGTGAACAGCTGTGAACGTTTTCACCGCCACGGATCATCGCATATTGCCTAGAGGCTGTACAGATTTCCAGAGATGAGCAGGTTCGGTCAATTGGTCAACAGCTCGTCACATATATGCTAGGCCCAGGCTGCGTATGAGGTCCTTGCCGGGGCGGTACCGCAAAGTCTAGGGTGCGGAACTATAGAGGTCACGCTGTGTTCTTGCTGGATCCTGCCTGGCGGATTTTACGTTAAAGGCGATTCCCAGGATTCCTACGAAATTGATTATGGCAAGTATTACGATAGGACACACCTGTCGTCCGAGTAGAGCGCGTCCGACGTAAGCTAGGACTTTTCTCGCCAAATTGCGACATCGTCTCCAATTCGGTGGAGCTTCGACGCGGGATTTGGCCACCTTCCCGGGCACGCACAGGGTCCTGCCTACCCTCATTACAATCTCTGCCGCAAGTCGAGTGGAAGAACAAATCATAATCAGATGTGGTAATCACTGCGTCACGGTGGGATAAGTCGATCCGTGACATGCTTCCCGGAGGGCGCCTCGCGTTGTAATGTTTCTATATCAGAGAACATGCGACCACTGTGGTTACTTGCTAATCATGCATACCCCCAAATTCAATAGTTGCAGCCTTTTGTTCGTCGCGGTTCAGGATGGATGCGACTCTGGTGGCTCAACGACAAATATTTACATATGTATATCCGAGGCCGCCTTTTGAGGACAAAGCTAACCTCCGATTGGCTGCAACTGGCTCGTTGTGGCACCACACTCGGCAGCCACCGTTTCATTCATGTCAATAGGCCCCCAGATGCACACACAACTTTGGGATGGCGAAGATCTCACTGAGGTTAGCTCCAACTCGCCTGGCATGGCCTCACAGCAGACATACCCTGCGCGGAGGCTTGAGCCACGAGTCTACTTGGCTCATGCACGTCTTGTCCGGATCCGAGTCGATTTATCGCCCAAGTGGACATTTTCGAAGCTCTGCACATGCCCCGTGCTCACTCTTCCGCAATCCTCCCACAGGTCGTCCTTCCATATCATCTGCCCAGACACATGATAAAGCACAGAACGCCGCCCGCAGTGATCTATCACGTCCGTCACAGCCCTTTCCAAGGCCGAATCCGGTGCGTCTGCGCTGATTTCTTTCCATTCCCGTTCAATATGAAGTAATATCCATTAGAAGGCCGTCCTCATCCGGTCTGCGATCACAATGCGGCGCGGCGCGCGTTACAAAACCGCACAGCCGTTCTGACCGTAGGACAGAGCGCAGATATGTCTATAATCAAAGTCGACTCCGCCGGAAGGGACGACTCGCCCTCTCTGCTCATTGAACTCCAGCCTGCTCCGACGCAGACCGTTAACATCCCTGATGGCGGCCTGCAAGCCTGGCTTTCCGTCCTCGGGGGGTGGGTCCCAGAATCTCATCTGTATATACCTTCTCATTGCTGCTCAGAGTACTCGTCGTAGCGTCGACCTTTGGATACTCAAACTCTTTCGGAGTGTTCCAAGACTACTATGTCCTCTCAGGCTCCTCGAGCGCGTCAAACATTAGTTGGATAGGTTCCGTCCAGGTCTGTCCAGATGCCTCGGTCTCTCAGTTGCATGGCTCACCGCATGCGTGCAGCTATTCTTTACATTCGCTATGGGTCTTCCGGCAGGCAAGCTCTTCGATCTCGGCTCCTTCCACTACACATCCATCGGCGGGAGCCTGCTCTACGTCTTCTCGTGCGTATCGGTTGTCGCATTTGTCTTCTTCCAAATCCACTGAATCTCGTTCAGGCTCTTTATGCTATCACTCGCGGACCCTAGCAAATATTATCAGCTCATCCTCTCGCAGGGGATCGGTATGGGCATCGGGGCGGGGCTGCTTTTGGTGCCAGCCGTTTCCGTTCAAGCCCATCACTGGAAAAAGTGGCGTTCCCTCGCGATGGGCACCGTGGTGACTGGTAACTAGTCTTTTTTGCGCTGTGCGCCAGTATGCTGACGTACTCCCCTGTGTAGGGTCGGGCTTTGGTGGGGTGTTCTACCCGATCATGTTAAATCGCCTCATCCACGGGCACGTCGGGTTTGCGTGGGGCGTGCGCATCACTGGATTCCTCACACTTGGGCTACTCGTCGCGGCGAACTGCATTATGCGCACGCGTCTCCCCAACGCGCGGCAACGCGCGCCAGGTCTGAAGCCGGACGTGAAGGCGATCATGAGCGACTGGCCATACATATTGCTTCTGATTGCGTGCGTGTGTCTTGTCTCGGGATGCGCCACTGCTGAGTTTGCCTCTAGGGGGTTCCTTGGGCTGTGGGGACTGTTCTATCCGTGTATGTCCGTACTAGTTTTGCGCGTGACCACGGACTGACCCTTTCCGCAGATTTCTACCTGCAGCTGTGGGTAAACCTACACGGACTCTCTCCAAATCTGGCGTTCTATACGGTAGGACCACTGCACTTGCTGTGCACGCATGTGCAACTCACATCTCACTCCTAGATCGCCATCTTGAATGCGTCTTCGATCCCGGGGCGCATCATCCTGAACTTACTGGCCGACCGCTTTGGGCCGCTGAACGTGCTCCCACTGGTGCTACTCACAACAGGCTCGTTGATCTTCGTCATGTTCGGCGCCACGAACGTCGCCGGCGTGATCATCTTTTCCATCCTATATGGCTTCTTCTCCGGCGCATGTAAGTCCAGTGGCCGCGACCATCGCTCATGCTGATCTGGACACAGCGACCGCGCTCTACCCGCCCACCGCGGGCAGGTTCGCGAAGGGCGAACATGAAATTGGGTGAGTCTCTCGTAGGATGTGCCACGGCTCCTTCTCACCGTCTCTTAGCCTCCGGCTAGGCGTGATGTACTTTGCATGCTCGTTCGGGATTCTGACCGGAACGCCGATCGTCGGCGCGCTGTACGACTCGGACCACGAGTGGTATAAACCCACCGTCTTTAGCGCGGTATGCATTTTGTTTTGCCAAAGGGGATATTTTCTGATCGTGCTTCTGCGATATAGGTTGTGCTCATAGCAGGAGGAGTGCTGGTGCTGAGGACACGGCATCTAGTATTGAACGTGCGCCGCTGACTGAGACTCGGACAAAAGTGATTCTTAGTGGACATAGATGCGCTGTCATGTAATCATGTTTCGGACTATCATTATGGTTGCGAAAATTATAACTGTAATCACAAGAAACGGTCCGATTTATCTATTGTTTCAGGTACATCTCGTATTAGATACAAGACTTGAGTCTTCATAAATTGATGGGGATACAGGTCAAGATTCAATTATGCATATAGTCATTAAGCTATATCATTGACTTTGGTGGGACTGGGATACCTCTCGCTAGGTGAACCTGGTGCAAGCTGTGATGCAATGACAGCTAAAGCGTTGTTGTTGTCATTATGGGCATTCTTCCCTGTGATCTTCCCAAACTTAAGATCACCCTGATATAATTATCAGCATATATACTTGCACTAGTAAAAATCATCTTACATCAGACCTGGTCTGCTGTCTTCCTGCAGCAAGATCAAGAGGCACTGGGTCATTCTGTTGCTGCTCATCAATGTGATTGTTGCACTGTGATCTGTTTAGTCTGCAGGAAATCTGAGTTGGTATGGAGCGTAAAATCATGACCAGATTGTTCATACGTTGCAATAAAAGAGTTCACATATACTGTTTACACATCAAGTCAGTAATTAGTAGAGTAAAAATTGCTCTAGACCTACATTTACTCTGGACTTCAATCAAGCCTGCAAATACAAGGGTGTGTTTTGAGTACATGAACTAGAGCACCTGGTCAGATAATGACAGAACCAGCTGGCCTGAGCTTACTGTCAATAAGATTGCCAGAGACACAAGTCTGAGATACAAACATTAGAATAAAATCCATAGATAATAAAAGGTTCTTACACTGTTATAAGACCTGTGTTGATAATGAAGCCTTGCAAAAATTTGACTGTATCTTCAGTACTGGTTATAATGATGATAATAAGTCATAATTTATTATTTCTATCTCAAATCACCTACTTGTTCATTCTTACAGTACTGTGTTTCCTGTAGTAGTGAATACTCACACTAGCCATAGTGAGATCCATGAGTATAGATATGCTTATAGAGGAAGCTAGTGTGGCCTGGATTCATACAGGCCTGATGAGCATATATAGTCAAATATGCAAGATAACATACCAGAGGAGCTGGTGAACTTGCAAACTGAGTCCACTGCTTTATGTTCCAGCTAGTATAAAATTAGCCAGGTATTAATCATCCAATTATAGTAGGTTTAATATCCGTAGTACCTAAAGCTAGCAGTTGCTAAACACAGTAAAAGATTATAAATCAATCCTTGAGCAAAATATATCACATACCAATGCCTACAGCTGAGAAACAAAATGAGCATAATTGCAATTCACCACACAAACTTATTCACTAACCACCACGTATAACAAGCAGAATTATCTGATATATTGCCTTAGTATAAAAACATAGAAATGAAAGCAAGTTTACACACTGGCAAGATACTGGCCCATAAACCTTTCTTGCTCACTAGCCAGAGTTGATGAAAACTAAAACACTGTAAAAGTTGCTAAACTTACATATGCTGAGCTGATATACAAAGAAACTATACAGTATTTTAGTAGATGCATCTGAACATACAGGATTAAACTCACCTCTGCACTGTCACAGCCATAATTACCTAAGTTATGTCTATTTAGCAAGGACTAGGTTCAAGAACAACAAGATGCTAACACCAATTATAACAGCAACCTAGTCTCAATGCATCTATAAATATAAAATAAAACACCTTATGAGTAAATACTCACCCCAATAGGCCTAGTTAATGTATTAGAGTGTGCTTAATTTCAGAAAATCATAATTACTTACCAAATAATTTCTTCAAGTTGTGTAATATCTCCAAAGCCAAGAATGAAGTAGTCATATATGAAAAGCATGCAGAATGCTGTATGAATAGTATCTATTATCCTAAGGAATAACAGCAGTTTGAGCATATATATATATCATACAACCAGCTTACCAAACAAAAGTCACAAGCTTGCGCAGCCAGTTTGGATCATCATAGTGGTTCCACCAGTAGTCATACATTTGAGTGACAGAATTTCCATAGAGCCTGATATATGTTTCATGACAGAACAACATTGTGACAAATACAGAAACTCACATCACAGCAATGAAGATCTCAATAAGAAGTCCACTAGCAATGTGCTCAACCTCTGTAGCCATCTTAAAATATGAAGCACTTGAGTGCAGAGATCAGTTGTCAGTCTTCAGATACCCTTCTTCATATATGCATCCCATATGCTGATTCTATGAGATCAGATGCAGATTGAAACAGTTATAATTGATGGGTTGATCAACATTTCATTCAGATGGCCACCATTTCTTATCATGACGATACAGAACATACATAATGAGACGCACAATTGGCTATAACTTTGACAGCTCCCATCGGCTTGCAACGGCAGGATGCCAAGATAGGCTTGAAGCATATTTTCTCAAGAACAATGTTGCGGTCACACCTACATTTATGTTTGAAGAACTAATCCGCAAGGAACAACTTGCCTAAAAATGGTTCGGCGCCCATGTACCCCAAGTTTACTCTGTTCCCATCCTATCTAACGATCCGAATGCACTGCCTTGACTCCTACGTGAAACTTTTGCTTTTGTTATCAAAATATAGCTAACATATCAATGCCCTCACTGTCACGGTGTAAATATGTTGCTGCCGTGCACGCAAGTTGCGGTTGGGAAGGTGACAACATCGCCTACAACCTGTACAGGTTACGGGAGTTAAATGCCCCCTTTTGCGATACTCTACAATGGAGACGGCTGAGTACCTAATCCATGTGTAGGAATCCGTGCGTGCACAATCGAGAACGAAGAGTCACTTACTGAACGAGAACCCCTGGGTATTGGGCTTGGCTTACGGTCTAGAAGCTCCGAGAAGACGCCACAATGATGCATAGTACGTATGGCGCACTCAAAAAGGTGTATGACAAAGTTATAGAACTGATGTTCTGCATCTTTGCTGGACTCCATCTGCACAGCCGCATGGTTCGCACAGGACCTCATGCAACGGGAAGGAGCTGAGTCGAAAGCCTGGAAAGCGCAGCTGCATAAAATCAAGGAACTACTGATGTCGGATTCCTTCATCATTGCTGACTCGCACCCAGCGAGACTGGCAGGGGATTGGTGTGAGCAAAGTGCGCTATTCAAATTTGTGGACCACGGAGCCCGTGGTTGACCGTGTACTCCATCTGCCCTGGACATGTTATCATCATAGGACAACCACCGTTGGGCGGTGCAGACGATTCGAGCAAACAAGATGGGCCATCCTGGATTATCTAGGAGATTGTCACAAGTGAGAACAAAGTCTAGACGCCGCTCCTCAGCGAGCGATGAATGAACGACAGATGCGTATTAACAAATCGCCCTACTAGTACGTGAGCGCACTTCCGAAGAGACTCCGGCCTCAACGGATGGCGCTCATTGGTGATATTAATAAATATTAGGCGCCCGTTTCTTGATCGGTCACGAAATTACCAAGGTCGTTGTGTTTCATTGAGTTGCAGAGATGAATGGCCACAAGCAGTTGGCCACTCAATGTGCAAACCTCTGAGTGTGGGTGGCACGAACTCTCTACATCTGTTCCGTGGTTCCGTGTCTGGCCGGGAATGATAATGCTGATTACAGCATCCGGATTTGTAGCCTCTTGATGACTTGCGGAGTTGTGACAGCCCTGGCCACAGCAGTCCTTTGTAGACATGAGGCTCAGTCGGAGGTGCACCGCTCAATCACGCTGTCAAATTGCCAACTCCATTAAAATGACGTTGATGCATATGTGAACCGGACCGATACGGGCTTCTCTCTCCTTTCCGCTATAGGGCAGCCTGAGGCCATCTCGATCGACTCGATTCCGAGCTTCAGATCACCCCCACCCTCCCCCAACCATGGACTTGTCTGCGGAAGGGGCCACACTGGGGGCTCTCCTCATCGAAATGCTTATGGCGGTAATGTGAGCATTATCTTCAGGTTATATCGGCGGATGAGCTCGAATTACAACTGTTTCAGTCTGTATGGCATAGGAACCACGCAAGCGTACATGTATTGGTGGAGATATCCAAACGACACTAAACTGACTCGCCGGACAGTGATTGTCATATGGTAAGCAAGTCATCAATGCACGTTTTCCCTACTTGACTGGTGATAGGCTTCTAGAGACTCTACACACAGCCTTCTGTTTGGACGTCATATACAACTACACGGTTTTAGATTATGGTCAGAGTGTTGATGAGATTGTATGGTAAGTCTAAAAATTATATAGATACGAAAAAGAGCTTGTCTAATGTCTCTTCAGGAGCGTCGGAGTATGTATACTAATCGTGTCACGATACAAAAGTCCACTGATTGTTATCATCGACTGTAGGCTACAATCTTGCTAGCTGTACGTCTAATAAACCAATCTACCCGCTGCTTACGCTGAACATTCAACACAGATCATGATAGCCATCACCGTGCAAAGGTGATACTGCCGCAATTTCCCCTCGCAGTCAACTGATATTCGTCCTCTTCAGCTACTTCATCAACAGAATTTGGATATGTATGTGTAACTCCACATCGTGAGCATGTTTTTCTGACTTCAGAATGTAGTGAGCAATCACAACACGTTTATTACCGCGGTGCCGGTATGTGTTCGACAACTCGTTCCGTGACCTTTATGAATAAAAATCGCTGGTAGCTTGTCTTTGTTGTATGCGAACTAGGTGCGACATCAGAATATAAACAAACCCATCCCTCACTCACCCCCATGATCAAGTTTTGGAGCTTGGTGAGCCGGTTCTTGATCTCTTCTCGAAATCCCGGACTCAAAATCTGCATGTGGCAAAGCAACTGCAAGCTTGACGTGAGTACCCAAAGCTTGTCATATCATCTTTCCCGTATTCATGAGCCTGCTAGTTGGAAGATCTCGTCATGGACAGCCTTCTGGCATGCTACGGGACCCTTGGTTCGCTATACAGCAGCGTTGCCAGAGCCACTCGTCAACTTACCATTTTTGCAGGTGACTCTGTGCTGTGGCTTCAGTTGCGCGGCTGCAGCCGATCTTATCATAGCGGCCACTCTCATCTATTATCTACAGAAGAGTCGGACGGGGTCGCGTAGGTGAGGTCTTCTCGAACCCAGACTGTAGTTGAGATTTTGAATGGATTGTACCGGGGCATAGAACAGATCATATTATAAAATACGTCCAAGTGTACTTGGTCAATACCGGAACACTAACCATGTACGTTGTATGCCGTCCTATTTGCCATTTAACTCACGCCGATTCATAGGCTTGTTTCACTTGCCATTGTGCTTAGTGTGAGTCGTAACATTGTATTTTTTGATGCGTCGCGTATAATAGTCCGTGCCCAGTTCGTCTTACTCAGACACAACTTATTATTTGCGGGATTGATAGAGATTCAGAGCAAGTGTATGTTCGGTTCCTTACTCCGATTATGAACAGGTTATAGACACAAGCAGGTATTGACTTTTTTCGAGACAGTATACGCAAATTCCTTCCTTGCTACGTAGGCCAATGATTATATGAGCTACCTCTACCTAAAGCTGATCCCTAACAGACTGAATGCACGGCAACACTGGGCGAACGGTGGTAGACGGGGGGCAGAGGGCGAGGCCATCTCCATGAACCTTACTTCAATCCAGTCTGTCGAACAAGCGCGGCCAAAACTTACGGTGCGTAACTACTTGTACGAAGGATCAATTTTGACCATCATCACATTTTTTCCAGCGAATCGAGATATTCCAGAGTGTGATGACCGTGACGGACAACGCTAACCCTGGGCAGGACCAGAAGTCTCCCATACGAGAAGCGCACATACAGAGAATTGACGAAGACCCCGACATCAAGACGCGTCTGAGCAAGCTCCAACCCTTGACAATAGGCTGATGATGCTGAAAGTCGAGCAAGAATTGGGCAAGTGGTTTCGTCACATACGTCTTTTTCTTTGACAATTATACATTTCCTCCTGACGCGGAAAATCCGGTCCTGTAAACCAGATACTATAGATACGCTATTGCTAAGACCAGGACTGACAAGGAGCTGTATTGTAATTGTAGTATGATCTATACTTTGCGCTCACGTTTCTACTGAACTCTGCAATGCACACACACTTCCAATGCGGTGCTAATCTGCTGTTGAGTAGATGCGATCCCTTCATGAAGTCTGTATACTGGACCATGATTCATCACTGCGGTTAGCCTCACCGATTCATCAATGCTGGTTATTCATATCAGCGAGGACAGCAAGAAAAAATAATGGCAGAATTGCATTTCTCAGGCTATAGCCCACGATAGATAGACCTTCAATGGAAACGATGATATCGTGAGGAATGATATTTGTCCAATTATGCACAGGTCTGAGATTGCAAATTTGCGATCGAGGCGGAGCGGCGTGAGACGAAATGATGAATTTTCGGATGAATATCATCACTAGAAACAGGTGATCACTTGTCTGAGTCGGACGAGTCCGGGGCCTGTGTGCTGTGCGAGGGGAATTGGCCACCATTGGCGTGGGAGAAGTAAGCCTAGGGAATTTTTTATATATTACTAGCTCTATCGCTCGGCGTGATGGAAAGGAGCTTGGGAAAGACTGGCTGAGGAAAGGTGTACCGAGGCACAAGTTAGCGATTGAACTGAGTCCAAGCAGAACGCGCACGCTAGTGATTTAAAACCCTACGACCCACCACGGGCAGGCTCTCTCAGACTCAAGCTGGCTGCGATAATTGCTCGCTACCAATCAGACCAATGAGTGATCTAGATTCACTCGAAGCAATGACTCATCGATATAAATCAGTGCCTTGTATGACGCATTCCTACGAGCAATGCGGGCTCTAATTCTGAGCTCTTTCAGTAGAGATAAATGCGCGATTCCACTATACCACCATATTCTCGAATTACCAGCTGCCAGTGGTGTTGAGTATCGGATCCACGGAGACAGGATCGTATTCATGCAGTACTATACTTGCACACAGTGATGGTATCTTCTAGCCTAAATTTGAAAGGCGAAGATTCTGAGTGAGAGCCCAATACTATAGCTACTAAGTATCGACCATGCGCAGGTATCCTTTTTAGGGTAGTGGTGTACGTGTCAGGTGCCAGCTTTCGAACTACAGCTTTTGCGAACATCTCTATGTAATCATTGGGTTATCGGTATATAACTATATTCTAGGGAGTTCATTACTTTGTTGAGAATGTCACTGTATATTGATCTCTGTGTAAAGTGTTATCCTACTGAGTTCACAATCCAAACTTGAAGAACTCGATGCCACAGCCACACGGGCGGCAACTTTACTCGAAAAGCGCCATGTGGTGGCGCATTGGCCGCTTCGACTCCCTACGTCGACGTCGCGTACAACATTCGAATGGCGGCCTGGCCTATGTGTCTAGAGCCAGAGGTGTGTCTCCTATCTACTGTTATGATTCCTCCTTCTCATATTATTCTTGCCCTCAAGAATGAGATTCACACTGAAACTGTCCCTCTGTCTCGGCTAGCATCTTGGAAGCTAAATTGTTTCTTTGTGACAATCTCTGAGCCTTCTTGTCAAAATTCTAATCTGGCAATATCTACAATTTGCCTTCGTCGTGCATGAGAATGACTTCATGACTATGGGCTCGGCGATTCGTTGGATTGTTCGTGCGTGTTGGCCAGACAAGAGCAGGGTGAGATTTTGAGTGGCCGCAGGCGTCTTTATACGAATGAGTAACTGTGAGCCTTCTGCCCATATATACACTATCGGAACTATTGCTACAGGTCTAGACTTGTTCTAGCTGCCTATTTGAGAGCGAATTTGTGTTTGCTTATGCAGCAGGATCACATTGCTTATGTGTTGCATCGAATCATGAATATCAAGAACTTCACTCTGCCTTGAAGCCTTAGGTAAATTGCGGACCCAGGGATTGTCTCCTCCGATATTAAAGTGATTTTCTCCTCCAGCCATCGTGGCAGAGGTAGAGGCAGCTGCGTTCACCATCTATCCCAACAGGTTCACAATGGGTCCTAGTTCAAACTAATTCTATCCAGTTGATGCGCCATGATTATCGTGACTCCGTCAATGTTCAACAGAGACCCTACATACGCTGTGCATTGTGCGTTTCACCCGTCACTCTCCGTACGATTTAGCAATCATGTATTTTACTGACTATGAGCTATCAGTGCAAGCAAGCTCTGTCAAAGGAGTTGTCGGGGAGCTTTGAACAGTTCGGTGATTAGCGAATGCAAGCTGGGAGTTTGAATCTGATGATTGGCGGCATGTTCGCTCGAGTTTCTAACCCGATCATATTGTGCATGGGCTTCTTACCACCTGACTCATTCACGGATACTGGCACTTTCTAAGTACTATTGGAACTGCCGATACTAGATGGTCGTATACGCACCAGGTGTACATTTGTCAGTAATCTTGTTCTGTGTCCTGGTCCGCCTCTTGGACATCTTTCGCGCTATTGGTCGCTGGCATTTTCTGATCGTTCGAGTCGCAGATCGAAAGAACGATGTCTCGAGCGTGAGATCAAAGGTATTGAAGACGTGAAAAGTTCCCAACGGTGCCGAGTTCGTTATTTCTAAAAAGAGCTGTTCTTTCACCTCTCTTACTCCGTTGACAAATTCCAAAAGAGATTCAGGAGCCATTCATGTTATCCATTCTGACATTCGCAACGAACTTAGACTTTAACGACGCCGAATTAAGGATATATGCACAGTTCGGGGGCAGGTGGACTAGGTGAGGAGGCTGTCTGTACGCGCGAGTATTAAAATCACCTTAATACCTCCTTCAGCCGTCTTCCTGAGCCTTTAAATCAATTTCAGCACTTCAATATTTGATCAAGCAGCTCCCGAAGTCGCTTTGGCAGGTTGTCCTCGACATGTTCATTTTTGCACGGTAGTGAGGTATAGACTATAGACAAGGCACGATGTGTGCTTATGATCCTCTGTGCGAGTCACCTTCCTTCGCGGTGAACCTATTACTACTATCGCTGAACCCCAATCGCTAGCAACGGCGCTGGCCCTGTACGATATGTTTTCTTGGAAATAGGTTACGTAATCTGAGGAGCGCCTATGCGTCCGCCCGGGTTGACCGTCCCCACCTCTCCACGCTGCTGTAAAGCCATACACTCTTTGTCTTATACTTTATACGACTGCAGACACTAGTAACACGCCATGTCTGACGGCGAAAATCCAGCTGCGACTCAGGATCTCGAGCCAAAGGCGGAGGACGCCAACGCGCCGATTAACATCAAGGTCAATGGGCTTTTGTAGAGTTCTGCATTTTGGCTAGGCTCCAGCTGACGCTACGGCTGCGGTATATGATAGGTGACGACACAAACGGGAGAGGAAGTCTTCTTCAAAATCAAGCGAAACACGAAGCTAAGCAAGCTTCAGGGCGCATATGCTTCGAAAGTGGGCAAGGACGTAAACAGTATTCGGTTAGTCCTTTTCCCGCGTTCAAAATCCCCCCCTTCCTCTGTGTGTTTCGCAGTGTGTAGTCTTGGGCGCATTTCTACCCCCTTTCCCTGTGTGGCGCTGTCTCACTTGCTCCGCTTCCAGATTTTTGTACGATGGTGCCAGAATAAACGATGATGATACACCAGCATCACTAGACATGGAAGATAACGGTGAACTATCTCCCGCATATCCGTTCATCCCTGACTTACATCATGTGTCTCGCTAGACACGATTGACGTGATGGTTGAACGTAAGTATGAACTTTAGTCTCCCCTAGAATAATCAGCTACCGCGCGGTCGTTCTAACTCTTTTCGCAGAGGTCGGGGGCTCAGCGTAACTTCAGTGTTTTATTCGATCTTTCGTTATTTGTTGTCTATGTTTGCTACGTTGTATCATCCACCCCTTTCCGAGCCGCCTCCTTCCGTGCACCCGTATCCGACCACTGTAGCGCTTCGCTTGAAATCCAGTCAATAATAACTCAAAATCTCCATCATGTCTAGTTCCTCATTTCTCGTGAAGAGGTGCCGACTGACAGTAAAACAAAGTGATCAATTGCGCCCTGTGGCTGTTCAGAGTTCAAATGTTCATGACTCAAGAGTTTGATCTTAGCTACTTTGTGCTTCAACTTGTCTTAGAGCCATCTCCCCAGGGTAATGAACGTGACGGCTACTTTCCTGTGTTAGTTGGACCAGTTAGCCAGTCAATCAGCCATTCAGAAAATTTTAAACATCAATATCCCCTTTATACTGAGGCCAGATCGAGATTCGCGATGTACGATCGTCCAAGCGCCTGTCGCAGCGAACAGTCGGCCAGAACGTCAGGCTGCGCTCATTCAATATTGAACTCCAATCACTTGTACGGCTACTCAGCGAACTAGCCACATACAATTACTGGCTGTGACAGAGGAAAGAAGGACGGGATCTCTAATATGAACACCGAAGATCCATCACAACAACTTGATATACCTCTGCATGTCAAGTACATTAAGTCTTTGGGCGAAGTGCGTTTCCACATCTCATGTCTACCAACAACTTATTCCGGCATATTTGATACAGAGTAAAGATGATCTCATGTATCATCTAACAGCTCATCTGCGCATGAATGCCATTTATTGGGGCCTGACTGCGCTCTGCATTATGAAACACAAGGAAGCTCTTGCTCGCGAAGAGATGGTTGAGTTTGTCATGAGCTGCTGGGACGATGAAGCTGGTCAGGCTTATTCTTCTTTGTTGTCGAAGCCGTCTTTGAGCTGATGATCGCATACCTTTCAGGAGCATTTGGGGCACATCCGGACCATGACGCGCACTTACTGTCGACGTTGAGTGCTATACAAATACTGACCACACAGGATGCCTTGGACAGGATTGATATTCCTAGAGTTGTAAAGTGTAAGTGTGGTATTGCTTCGTGTGCACTGTATCACGTATTAATATCCGTGAAGTTATTCTATCCCTCCAGCAGCCCTCTGGTGTATTTGCAGGGGACTCGTTCGGCGAGATCGATACGCGGTTTTCGTATTGTGCCGTCAATGCACTGTCTCTCTTAGGACATCTACATGAGCTCGACGTTGAGAAGACAGTAGATTATATCCGACGCTGCAAGAATTTTGACGGCGGCTTTGGTGCGTGTGTCGGTGCCGAAAGTCATGCGGCACAAGGTAAGCTTTTCACGATTCTCGATCTGATTTTTCATCACTTAAATGCCCTAAGCCTTTGTGTGCACAGCAGCACTCGCGATTTTAGACAAATTAGATGAGATTGACCATGAAACGCTTGCGTGGTGGCTTGCAGAGAGACAATTACCAAATGGGGGTCTTAACGGGCGGCCGGAGAAATTAGAAGATGTAAGTCTGCTTGCGCAGCTGTTCATGGATAGTGGGTGAAACCTACTTCCTAGGTATGCTACAGTTTTTGGGTGCTGTCGTCCCTGTCAATCTTAAAAAAGGTCTCATGGATTGATCCGGAAAAGCTCACTGCATTCATCCTATCTGCTCAGGTCTGTACCCAATCCTAGTAACTCATATGGAAAAACTAACCGTCTTCCAGGATCCTGACAACGGTGGCATCGCAGATCGCCCAGGCGATCAACCGGATGTCTTCCACACTCATTTTGGCGTTGCAGGCAAGTGACATACTCTCATAGATGTCTGCACTGTATTGACAGCCTATGCACGGAAAAGGACTGTCGCTCCTGGGGTATCCGGGGCTCATCGATTTAGATCCTGTATATTGCATGCCTGCCAGCGTGATTGAGAGCAAAGGGCTTCGGAGGGAGTGGGAAGCTCTTCCCAGGCGACAGATTTAACTCCTACGACATGTGTTTAATCTGCTTGATGTACAGTACGCAACTCACAGCGAGCTCTCAGCGCGCATTCGGAGATAAACTGCTCATTAAACAGGCAAAAAAGCACGGAGAAGGGCGATTGACTACATGTGGCCCCTGAAATGTAAGCTTTGGGATCCTATTTGATACAGATGATGGTAATATAAGCATACAATTTGTCTTCGGAAACCAACCTGTACAATGACGTATGACATAGCGATGGTGGGGATCCAAGCGTCCTCAACTCAAGTGGACAAGAGTCAACATGCCATACGAGCATGAATCATTTTTGTGTTGCCCACTGCACCTTCTCGACTCATGCCCCGACCGCAATCACAAGGGGCCGCTCGTCAGCAAGGTGGAGGCGATCAAGGGCATCTTCGAACCTCTCGTCGCCGCTATCGCTATCGTCTTCGTCAGACTCCTCGTCTGACACTGCACCTTCGTCGTCTTCGTCTGGCGGCTCATCTTCGTAGTCAAGCTGCCCAGAGTCAGCGGGGAGATCAAAGATAATAAAGTTAATACACACTGGATCGTATATGACTCGTATGACTAGACTGCAGCTGGGGCATGTCGCAATGTCTTCGTAATTCGCGAGCTGCTTACGAGAAATCTCGAAGCGGTCACCGCAGGGACAAGGATAGTGGTATATCCGTTTGTCCTCATCCCAGGCCATGTCTTCAATCTCGACCTCGTCGTAATATGCGCCCATCGTATGTACGGATGGAAATATCTTAATGAAAGCGGACTAGTGTAAGATGCGAGCGGCGGTCGGTGGCTGAGAAGTGGAAAGCGGGCAAACCCAATCTGGCGATTATTTGGCAGCAGCCTCCGGTCCAAACAATTGCTCCTTCGAGTCGATCACGGCTATACTACTCGGCCAGTGTGACTGCTATCCGACTCGCGTTCAGGATCCTCGTCTGGTCATTGGGACTTGTCTTGTTGCATGCTCAGTACTACACGGCGACTGTTCCGGATCCACGCACGCACTTCCCGTAGTTATGCATCGCTAGTTTCGGGTCGTGACCCGAACGTCTACGATGGCGAGTCAACCTCCATATATCGGCTGTTGGTGCCCTGACCTTTTTTTTTCAGTATGCGTTATTGGGGGAGGTCATGCAGGATGTGAAGCGGCGGCGGGAGCAGCGAGAGCAGGAGCACGGACGCTTCTGCTAACGCAGAAACTCGACACTGTCGGTGAACTGTCCTGCAATCCGTCATTTGGTGGTGTCGGAAAAGGGACCCTTGTGCGAGAGGTCGACGCCTTAGATGGTGTTTGCGCGCGAATTGCAGGTATTTTTAAATGTGCTTGTGGCTATCACGGTACTGAGACGCTTACACCGTCTAGATAAAGCCGGCATTCAATTCCAGATTCTCAATCGCTCCAAAGGGGCCGCGGTATGGGTAAGTAAGAGGTGCTGATCTCCCAGAAAATTTACCTTATGCTTTCGCTCAGGGCCCCAGAGCGCAGATAGACAGGAAGCTATATAAGAAGCATATGCAGGAGACTTTGGCGAGCTACGCTAACCTGGATGTTCGTGCTGCAAGTGTTTTCGACCTCGTAGTTGACCAATCATCTGAGCTTGGTATGAACTATCCAGCATGGGGTCGAGTAGCCGGTCTTAAGCTGGGTGTGTATGTTCTCGTCACAAACATTGAACGAGGACCTCACGCATCTTAGACTCAGGCGATGTTATAACGTGCTCTCAAGTGGTAATTTGCACGGGAACATTTCTGTCTGGCGAGATTCATATCGGTAATAATTTGGGCATATATCTATGTGTACGACTTCATTTATGGGCATACCAGGCATGAAACGCTTTCCTGCCGGTCGGATGAATGAAGCGCCGTCTACTGGTCTTTCTGCTTCGCTTCGTGACGCAGGATTCCAGCTTGGCCGATTGCAAACGGGTACACCGGCAAGACTATACAAGGAGAGTATATCATTCGACAGAATGGAGATACAGGAAGGAGATGCAGTTCCCGTCCCGTTCAGTTTCATGAATAAGGCCGTTGCCAATAAAGTGAGCCACTCTGCGCTCAGCTGCATGCTTTTATTGCGCCGAAGATTGATGTCAGTGCTAGGATAACCAAGTGGTCTGTTGGCAGACCTTCACGACGCCTGCCACACATCAGATAATTAGAGATAACCTGCATCGTAGCGTTCACATTCAAGAAACGAAGAAAGGTTTGTGCGATAATCTTCTTGGTCGAATGAAATCTAACAAGCGATGATGCAGGTCCAAGGTACTGCCCATCTTTGGAAGCCAAGGTCATTCGTTTTCCACAGAAGGACAACCATTTGATCTGGCTTGAACCAGAAGGTTATGACTCTGGTGAGTTCCATTTATCCAATATATAAGCCCGAAGGGAAGATTATATGCGCCTTCTTTTAGACCTCATTTACCCAAACGGACTCTCGTGCAGCATGCCAGAAGACATACAAGAGGTAATGTATCGTACCGTTCCAGGACTTGAGAATGTCCAACTAGTCAAGCCTGCTTATGGTGTCGAGTACGATTACGTTGATCCTAGAGAGCTGAAATGTAGGTTGATGCCAGCGGTCTGGTCATCCTCCAATTTTTATGTCGTTTCTCCCTAGCAACGCTGGAAACCAAACGGATCAAGGTAACATTTGATATCATTCGATGATACTCTGAAATTCAACCATAACGTAGGGTCTATTTCTTGCGGGCCAGATCAATGGTCTGTTCATGCATGCCGCTTATTTCTCTAGGTGCTCACACAATTTATGATAGGCACTACCGGCTATGAGGAAGCCGCCGCCCAGGGTGTCTTGGCAGGAATCAATGCAGGATTATCTGCTATGAACCGCCCTCCGCTTGTCTTGACACGAGCAGATGGCTTCATCGGCGTGATGGTGGACGATTTGATAGTGAAAGGAGCGGAGGAGCCTTGTAAGTGTATTTAGTACATATCCCGAGATTTGACGGCTCAACTTGTGACTGCGTCCTGTAGACCGCATGTTCACCTCGAGATCGGAATATAGGATGACAATTAGGAGTGATAATGCTGATCTACGTCTCACGGAGAAAGGTCAGTATGTGCGTTACATGAGCGCTTACTGAAGCTGAGTTGGCGCAGGACGAGAGGCTGGTGCCGTTTCCAACGAGCGGTGGTTACATTTCATGTCGACACGGGGCGAGCTGGCACGTATCACAGAACTCATGCAGACCCGTGTCTTGAGTCCACATGTACGTATATGGCTCATGACAATACTATCGTTTGTGCTGAACTTTTTAGGGCTGGCAACTTCTTGGTTTTGATGTCAAGAGCGACGGGAATATGAGAAGGTGAGATATTTGTAAAGCATGTGTACATATTCGAGCTGAATTCTAGACGTAGTGCTTACGACATGTTACGCCATCGTAATGTCACTATCAGCGAGCTCCTCCTTGCGGTCCCTGAGTTGCAAGGCATTGATCCCTTGATTCTGTCGCGGATCGAAATCGATGGTTTGTGCTCGCTGCGTCACCGCAATCCAGACGAGTACTGTGCTCAGCTTATTGTCCTTTACAGCCGTTTACCGAACACATCTTCGCCGCCAGGAGGCCGACCTCCGCGTCTTCATGGATGACGAAGCGCTTATCCTCGACCCGCAACTTGACTACGAGAATATAGAGGGCCTGAGCTTGGAAGTTAAAGAGCGGCTTTTCCATGTCAGACCTGCGAGCATTGTAAGCAAACCGTTTTCCATACCACTTGACTCGTCCATTGAATTCCAGGCTAGGGTGCCGCCAAACGTATGGAGGGTATGACCCCCACCTCGATCGTCGCGCTGCTGAAGTTTGCCAATCGCGTACATAGCCGGTCGACAATACCTCAGCCAGTAGCCTAGTTTACAGATGAAAAGTATAGAGAATATGAATACACCTGTTAATGCACACACGTGTATCCCACTCGAAGGACATAAATATTGCGCACTGAACTACTAAACAGTGAGTGCTTCCAGAGAAATTGAGAATCACACTATATGGCATTACGAAAATTTCTTGGACTATGATATATGAAGATTCGTCTATTGCTCGAATATTGATACAACCAGCAATGGTAGCTCGGTGGGCCGTACAGTGAGAAGAGGAATTCGACAAACGGAGAATGCGGCTAATATCTGTAACGAGTAGAATAATCTGAACAGACAGCAGAATTAGTGATATTTTAATGATTGCAATACATGGCGTACCTTTAGGCGACACGACAAGACCGCGACCTTTAGACGCACCACGGTATACTGTCTCAACAATGTCAATTAGCTGTTATAAATGGTCAGTTTCGATCGTATTATAATCAGGAAAATACTGACTTCTTGTTTATTATCCATTGCCCAATTTCTACAGTCGGCAAGAGTAGAACATGTCAGCGATCTTCGAAATGAGAACGAAAGGGCTGCATACATCTTATTATTGTTACCAGTCCCAAGATCAATCATGATGTGCTTGTTGCTGGCATACAAATACATCAGACTCTGGATGAATGTAGGACCGATACAATAGACCTTACCGGTAGAAGAACATGACGGTACAAGGATCGTATAACTCGTACATCTGCAATACATGTTGAGTTGGTTTGATTTCAGTGTCAGGAAATAAAAAACACACCTTATTAAAGTCTGGCACCTCCGTGATGTCCACAAGGTATATAACCGCAAAATTCTGTACCTTCTCGGCGACGGAGTAGAGAGTCTCGTCCATGGTCATGCATTGGCTGTCCCAATCGTGGCCGAATCGGAGAACCACGACGCGATCTTCTTCAGACTTGATCGCTTCATCAACATGCCATCCAGAAGGCAAATGCGGCAGGAAATAAGACATTGGCAGGCGAAATGCAAGGGCAGGGGCAATGGTGGTTCTGAATTCATCACACGAGATCCTGCACAGCGTATTAAATTTGTCCTTATTTGTCAATGGACACCGGCGTCTTTGAGATTATAAGTATCCGCAGTTATTCTGCTTTCTGGACGACAACGTTCGAATTCCTGTAGATACCGACACATTCCAGCACGTTGTGCTCACTCATTGACGTGGTTCAGACTAGCGCTTGAAATTGAAGCTTGATTTGTTGCCTGACTTGTCGCTGCTACTGGGTGGTTTTCCGCTTATGCCACGACTGGTTTTGACTAGAAAAGTGCGCGCAACTTACCCTTGGGCCCGAGGAATGTATGCTCATTGCTAGGGAGCCGTTGAACAAGCTGTAATCCATACTTGTCAATTGAATAGCACTAATATTCCCTCGCAGAGAGATACATGGGGAATTTACAGAAATGGAGACCCTTCTGAACTTATGTGAATACCTTCTGATCAGCTTGACGCGACATTCTGTTTTGAAATTGCAGATTCAGTCAGTCGCAGGAGATACGGTTGGAAGTTCACACTGTCGGCTGACATCTCGCGCAATTTTGAATATCGTAACTCGTGGACTCTTAACTCTACTATGCTGTCCGGGAAAGAGGACGCCTATGAGCAATAGTATCCATTACCGCGGCCCAAACCATTTAAACCTTGAAAATAGCTCTGGACCGCTGTGTCGCTTGAAGTAACCACGGGTTCAGAAGCGTCGTAATGTGTGATCGCCTTTTCGTCTCATTTTTTTTTGTTAAGGCTTGAAAATTTTGACCAAAATCTGAAGGATGTGCTAATTGGCACCTTGATCTGTAGCGAAACGAAAGCTCAGAGCTGATAAGCATCATTCCGTTACGAGGTCATAGCATTCCATACAGGCTGTGAAATGGACACAAGATGGGACAATTGGTGCAGCTTATACATATCATCAGACAAGAACGATCATTTCCCTTTCATGACGCTCTCAATCCGGGCAGTTTGTGCTTGCCGACGCAATTCAGAGAGAATAGGCAGACCCAAAAGGGCGGTGCCCAGCGTGTAGAGCATCTGTAAACAATCATCAGAGCTGACGAGAAGCACCTGTATAAATGATCTCACGCACTCCGGTAACAAGTGGTGTTCGGTGTTTCTTGCAGAGGGCAAGAGAATACAAGGCTTCGGAACCGTGCATTACGACCACCATTCCCCAGGATGCCGTTACTGCCCATGACGGTACATTCGTTCGCACAAGATATCCAATCTGAAATAATCCTGAAGGGTCTGGAGCTGAAGGTGACATAGTGACGTAGACGAGGAAAGTCATGGCCGCGACGGTGACGAGCGCAAAGGTAGGAAAGCGGAATTCGGTGACTTGAGGCGCACGAACCTGGTGTATCCCGGTGAACATACTTAAATGTCTGACTTGCAAAGTAGAAAGCGATACGCACCATGCCTAACGCCTCCTCAGCATCCAACTTCATGGTGATCAACCGCGGCTTGACTTCTTCATACCCCGTGAGGGGTGGATCGAACTCTACGTAGACCTGCTTCTTGTCGCTGGGCTTGCCTGTAGTTTGATAGGACAATGTCATGCCCTGCAAATTCCAAACGGGCCTCTGTTGGCGATGCTTCTACTCTCCGTGCAATTGGACAGACCTTAGTGTCAATGGATGTCATCTGTGCGCTCGACACATCCTCTCGCACACTTCCAAAATGTTTGACATAGGCGACGAGCGTGTCTGGGTGGCTAGACATGTACATGCATAGAAAAGTAGACTTCGCAGCGACGGGGTCAGACATGCTTTCAGGACGAGCTTCTGGAGAGACAAGACAGAGGCCGCGGAACAAGGATTGGAATATATGCGGGTTCCCGGATATCGAAGACCTTAGTATCAGCACGTACGCATCAGACCGGGGTGGCTTGCGTTGACCTGGGTTACGTCCGCTGTCCCGGCGGCGCCGAGGGGTCCGGGATCATCTTCGAATTGTCCAGAGGCTAATGTAGGGCTTCAAATTGATCGTGCTAATTCACCAGCCTCCAAATGCGAGTTCGCTTCAATCCTGAACACAATCAGTGCGTACGTTGCAGCGAGGGCAGGAGAGGAAACAAATTGAAAGACAGAAACAATCGAATTGAACGGTTGAGCGCACAATTGAAAACGGCTTTCCCGTAAATAGCCAATATCCGCACTTAATAATAACCGAGTTACCAATAAGTTACCAGTGACTATCTGCCTTCAACTTAGTTCAAGTACTATTCATTGCCCCCAAAAGCCTGAGCTTCACAGCCACAGCAAACCATGTCGAACACACGTCCAATCGTATTCATGGATGTCAACATCGGAGAGACACCAGCCGGACGCTTGAAAATGGAGCTCTTCAGCGATATAGTTCCAAAGTGAGCTATGAGCTCGAAACATGGCTAATTTGTTTGACTGACCGGAATCATAGGACGGCTGAGAATTTTAGACAGCTCTGCACAGGAGAGTACAGGTGAATAAATATTCCTGGGAGGTTTGTCTCCAGGACGCATGTATAACGCACGAGACTCATTTGGCCTTCAGAGTCAACGCACGGCCGCAGGGATACAAAGGAGCAACTTTCCACAGGTAAGGAGATCTAGCCCAAGTTCAAAATGTTCAGCTCATGCCATTTAACTTGTATGATTTCATAGAGTGTGAGTGATTTGTAGTCGATAATATACAACGAAGTTCATTGGTGAAAATCTTTCAGAGTACCCAATTTTATGTGTCAAGGTGAGACACTGTTTATGTTTATGAAAGGGCTGAACTTGTCTAAGCTCGGCCTCAGGTGGAGATTTCTTGAAGGGCGATGGTACTGGGTCGTTTTCAATCTATGGCGATAAATTCCCGGTATGTAAAGCTTTCTGTCCCCCCCCCTCCCAAACTCACAAGGCCAGTAGGACGAGAATTTTCAAGAAAAGCACGTTGGACCAGGTTTGCTTTCAATGGTGAGAGCAGTTAATCTACGTGTTGCCTCCTGTTCACGATTGCTCTGCTGATGTAGGCGAACTCGGGACCGAACACGAATGGCTGCCAAGTGGGTACTCGTTGATTTGTGTCTCTGCTGAGTCTATCATACGTTTGCCTCTCAGTTTTTCATTACGACGGCAAAATGCGACTTTCTCGACGGCAAGCACGTCGTATTTGGAAAAGTTATCGATGGCATGCTCACCCTACGGAAGATCGAGAATGTGCCTACTGGTCCGAATAATAGGCCCAAGCTCGCAGTAAAAATAGTTGGTGAGTGCATCTCATGTCTCAAGTCAAAATAAACGTCGCTGACTTGTATGACGCCTTCTATGACGCAGAATGTGGGGAGATGTAACTTACTAATGTAGAATATACGCCGATGTTAGCCGCTGGCTATAATGCTTATCTACATGCGTCCTGTACTTAGTATCTTCAGCGTGTTATATTTTCAAATCAAGGTTCGTTCAAATATAGGTCGCGCCATGAGTTTTGGTGGAGTGCAGGTGCAGACCCGCGCGACCGAGTGCAACTCATTCTTTTACCTCCACTATCACTCTGGTCGTTCTGCTCTGGTGGCGTACCGAGCTAACAACGATCTTGCATGCATTCTGGTCGAACCTATGTCTCATCATGGCGATAAACCACTGCCGGCTCTTCCGTATCGCGGAACGTTAACTGTCGAGTCGCGCTCGCACCTCCGTCGACTTGTGCTGTGCATCCTCGAGGAAGAAGGGATCACATCTCAGCGGGAGACTTTCGCTGATGTCCTGAAGAGGGCGCTACAGGAATTAGGTGAATGTATCTCGACGGGAGGTTGGCTGACGGGCTTCAGACGTGCGCGAACCATTCGAAGAAGAAACCCGAATGAGAATAGTGTTCGTCAGTCGCCTGAACGAGCAATGAACCAGGATGAGGAGAAGACAAAGAATAAGCAAGGCAGACGCACAGAGTATATCGCCGACACTGAACTAGACACTAAATCCAAGTATTCCGAGTCTCAGGATTCTTCTCATTCTCTTCAGCACACACTCCCTACGGCTCTCGCTCAGCTTCGCGAGCTTGTCCAGTCGAATTCTGCACAGTTGATTCCAAAACCTTCCGCAAAGCATTTGCTGCTTATTGCTGATGGCTATAACTCGACCGGAGCCCTTGTTTCCGAAGAGGTTGATTACGGTACAGCTGGTATAAACTGCGCCTTCATTCCTAGAGTCTTTGACATCCCTTCGGATACCGATGTTGACGGAAGAGGTGGCTCTGTAGGCACGGTGCTATGCGGTCTTAACGAATGGGATGGTAGGCATAGTACTACTGGAAGAGTGCTGCTGCTGCTGACGCGGGCGCATGCCAGTGCGCCTTTTTGATAACTTTGGGAAGGACTCTGTGCAAATTGTCGGCGGTACGTTTCGTATCAAGGGTGCTGCTTCTGCTTTGCAACATGCAGCATTGTGCCGAGTCCTCCGAGTGTCGCTATACGCATATTTATCTCTACTTCTTGAGCAACAGCTATTATTGAATTCACATGTACAACTGCATTTCCCCAGACCTTCGCTTTCGACGGCCGCAACGATGCCGGAGCATCCCCCACCACCGGAAGACTCCCGGAGACCGCAGCGAGATGGCTCTATGGCTGGCGGAATATGGTCGTATTTCTCAAAGAAGACAGAGAGTCTCCTTCACCGTGCAGTAAATGCCGGTCCGTCTCTGCGTCGTGGCTCTCTGGACCTCCCTCTCACGCGTACCCTGCAGCCTCCCGCACCATCGTGCTCAATAGATGGTACGCGCGAGTGGCCGCGGCGATTCTCGTTCAGGTCGCCCGTCTCCACTCGGAGGGTCGATGACCACTCGGAGGGCGTCTCAAAGGACCGGCCATTCCTCGCTGCGCTCAGACGTATCGAGGAGTGGAGAGATTTGCTGTCGACCACGCCCGAGGTGATGCTGCCGCTGCCGAGCGTGCTTGTGGGACTCGTTGAGAAGGAGAACCAGGACCCCGGTCGTCGGTTGGCGGGCGACGAGAAAGCAGAGCTCATGAGTGTGTTGGGCTGGGAGGGGAAGAAGAACTTGGGCAGGGCGATGACGGGCTTGCCTGGGTTCGTTAGGCACCAAGGGATATCTGTGCTGTTCTCTACACACATACCACTTCCACTCATAGCGTCTTCGCCGTCTGCGCAATTTGGCCCGGGCTCGTCGATATTTGCGCTCCCGTCTTGTGGGAATCGCAAGAAATGGGTGACATATCGGTATTATCGTCGGGGCCATGGTGAGGTAGACGAGGCGCTTGGGGAGATCATCAGCAGCTTGTGTTCGACTGGGGAAGAGCCTTGCGACAAGCTCGGCTGTCACTTCAAGCGTGCTGATCACGACTTACGATGGATGCATGGTGGCATCCGTATTGTTGCGACTATCACTTCGCCCAGCTCCTTAGAGGATGGCTCCGTGGACAGAGATATGATTACAATGTGGGAGGCCTGCTCTGTCTGTGGCCGAAGCTCGTGCAAAGAACCAATGCTTGATGGTACATTGTGAGTCTCCTCCACCTAGTGTTTTCGCATCTCAACCGTAGTTGACTTATCTACAATTCTTGAGCCAGTTTGATCTCGTTCGGAAAGTACCTAGAGCTGCTCATATATTCGCCTGCCATTTGTATCCTTTCCCCAACGCTCTGCGAACACACCACGCCTCCTCCTCGACCATGGACTGCGGAGGATAGTCCACTGCCTCGCACACGATTTAACATTCACCGCAAGTTTGCATACAAGTCGCGCATAGTCACGTTTTCTCTATCCGTGGTAGAGGATGTTTTTGAGCTGTATCTGCCTAGATTGAAGATCATGCGACGGAAAGTGTCGAATTCAGAGAATGGGAAACACGACGTCTCCGACCCCGCAATGGTCATTCATGCTGGACGACAGAACGAGGACGAGGACGGCCGACGTATTTTGAGACGGGAAATTATGTCGTGGTGGCAAGGACTTTCTGAACACATGGACAAAGTTGTGAGTCTTAATGTTATCGGCCAGTAAGCCTGCGCTTTATATGTCTTCAAGGAGGAGTGGCTTGTTGCCGATACGCATGATCACCCTACCAAGGCTCTCCCTCGTTTACCCTCGGATGATGATGCCTATGATGACTTCGCCGAAGCCGAATTGACGACTCCAAGACCCTCTACTAAGCGATTGCCGTCCTCGTCCTCGATATCGTCGGCATCTATTTCCGCGAGTGGAACCGTCCATGCAGATCGGGGGTGTTCGCCAGATTCTGTGATATCCACTATTGGCACATTCTCTTCGCATGAGACGCGTTCCATAGACTTGCTCGCTGGCCTTAGGCATACCTTTCAGCGGGAGGAACAAGCACTATATGTGGAGCTGTCGAGAACGCCAACAACGTCGCTTAATAACATTCGCTGCTCGTTTTACACAGCCGCCCGTGGTGCATCAAGGCGACTGTCCGCATGGGAGGCAAAGCATTCCTCACAGCTGCCCCCGCGTTCGAGCGCAAATTGCTTGCCTAATATCTCCGAGCCCGAATGGTGGAGGAGTGGCTGTCATGCTGTCCCGGGCAGCAACGTAATCGTTCGAGAAGACGACTGGGGGAGCATCATAGCGTTTACACTGAGGTGCGCAATTACATGCTCCAGAAAGGAAACGTATCTGACTCTCGTCTCCGCCCGGCTTAGCTCCGTGGATTACCATCGCGAATTGGGCAATATGTCTACTGCCAAGCCTCGACAACCCACTCCGCCAGCTCCACCATCCACTCCGCCCGCCCTTCGCCCTTCGTTCTTCAGTGCTGGATCCTCCTTCAGAAAACTGCTTCCAGGGGCTACATCACAGCCTGATCCCGACCTGGATGGCATTGTATGGCAGGAGCCGGAGACGTTCTCCGCGGTAATCAGTCGCAAGGAGCATCCTCGTGATCCCTCGTCCTTAACGGCTCTGCGGGAGGTCTTGCGCCACAGGGCTAGCATCGACCTCCAGGGCGCCCCGGGGGGCTCCAGGTTCAACATGACCAGCTCTAGCACGAAACCCCATCCAGTTCCGCCCTCCGCGCGAGCGAAGCCCGCGGTCGAGCTGTCCATGCAGGCGGCAGATGCGTGCATGTGTGGGGCACCAGAGTCCGTCGATAAGATCTTGCACGAGCTGGAAGCACATTCGAACTCGACGAAGAGCTCGGGGGCGAGCAGCCCCAGTTCGTCTGGTTTCGTAGAGACTTACATCCGCCGGGGGAAGACGGCGTCCGTGATATCTACCGACAGTGAAGCTACCATGGGAGCGGACACTAGTAGCGTGTCTGGAGAGAGCCGCGATGTTGAACCACCCCCACTGCCAGCGAAGGAGCCTTCAACTTCAAATGCGAGTCTTGCGAACATACATTCGCTTGATGCGGCAGAGATGCCCACAGATCCCCCTTCTATCAATGGGTATTCCATCGCGGGCTCGCTCGCGAGTGCGATGCGGTATCTCCTCAAGCCGGGTGGGGCGCAACCTGCTGCATCAGGGAATTCACACCATGGCTTGCTGTCAGCCGACTTCACCGCGATCAACGACCGGCCGCATATCAAGTACGACTGGACGGTCGGTAAGCGGCTGAAGTTCAGCTGCACTGTGTACTTTGCAAAACAGTTTGATGCGCTTCGGCGGAGATGTGGCATAGAGGATGTCTTTCTCAAGAGCCTGACCAGAAGCGAGAACTGGGTGGCGGATGGCGGGAAGAGCAGATCAAATTTCTGGAAAACTGCAGACGACCAGTTCATCATCAAGACGCTTGTGAACGCATGGAACGTCGCCGATCTGTAAGTGGCTTGTTCTGGAGGATGTGATGTTTGCCCCTGAATGTTGCGCATGTAGCCAGGTGCTTCTCGAACTTGCGCCCTCATATTTCCGACACATGGACGCCACATCGACCAAACCATCTGCTCTTGCGAAGTTGGTGGGGTTCTACACGGTGGAGATCCGCAACCTGGAAAATGGGACAACGCAAGCAAAGGCGGACCTGCTGGTCATGGAAAATCTGTTCTATGGCCAGAAGATCAGCAAGACATTCGATCTGAAGGGTATACAAGGCCGAAAAGTTAAAGCCCCAGACTCGTCGTCAAAAACTTTCTTCGATGGAGAGTGGATTGAAGGTGATGATCGCTCACTGTTGTCATTTGGAGTAACTCAGTGCGAGATTGTGCTACAGGTCAACACAGAGCGCTGACTCTCGTGCGCCCATATTCAAAAGTCGTCTTACAAGAGGCCATCAAAGGCGATTGCGACTTTCTCGCCCGGAGTAATATCATGGATTACTCGTGAGTGGCGTCTTAAGGTGCTACCGCCGGCCAACTCATGTCTTGTTTAGGCTGCTGTTAGGCATCAACGATGAAACTAAGCAGATTGTATGCGGACTGGTCGATACGATAGGTGGATATACTGGCTCGGCTAGTGGATTCTCTTCACTCAGACTCGTTTTAGGAAGCTACACGTTCGCCAAAACGCTAGAGTATAAGGCGAAACAGGGTCTGAACTCAGGCAAAGAGGTGACCGTGGTTCCCCCGCATGAGTACCAGGAGAGGTTCGTTGCCGCGATGGACGAATACTTTCTGGCTTGCCCAGGTGGGTTTCCGATGTACCGGGGATTGCTGATTCAGCTAACGCTTCGTTGAATGGAAAGACAAATGGTCTCGTCCGCTCGATGACAGCAAGATTCCTCATGATATCGAGCAATTGCCGAGTGTGTTGTGATAGTACTATATTAGAGCGCACCTAAGTTTGAGGCAAGTAGATTCCGATTTCTCGGACTGATAATTGGGACATGCTCAGCTGACGATGAGTGCTGTAGCATTTGCATTGGCTGTGTACATCACCGATTGCGGATTTGGACATTGATATTAGCATTCCTAGCTCCTGTCTCTGGCATTTGTACTTTACCACATTCGTAGACGATTGATGTACGACCTGTTCGAGATGGCCTCAAATATGGCACTGTTGGGCAGCATCAGCGACTACTTGAACCTCAGTCACGATGCTTTTGATTTCGATTATTTTTGTCGACTTACTGAGAACCACTGTGTCGCCATCCCGTCGAATATGGTTGCTTGCTGACTGATCGCGGGCAGAAGAATTTGGGTTCGACGAGAGTCTCGGGCTGACGAATCCCTTCTCTATACCGAAGCAGGATGACGACAGTTCTCCCCTCCTATCCGCCCTGTTATAAGCACATCTTTCCACCCTCAGAGCCTCCATTCCACCCTCAGAATCAGGCCAAACAAAATAAGCAACCGCACGATTATCATGTCCGCTCGACCCCTCATCGTCGTCGCCGGTATCGGGAACGGAACGGGTTCGTACTCAATTTCTTCGGCTCTAAGCTTCCTGATCGACCTCCCGTGCTCCAGGAACGGGTGCCTCTACAGCGTGCGTTCTTGAGTTGTTATCTTTGGGTAATGCTAGATTCATTCAAATTGACATCTTAGTCGTCTTTTCGCAAAGACTGGGTATCGCGTCGCACTCGTGGCCCGGAATGCAGACCATTTGAAGAACCTTGCTGATGATATTAACAAAAACGGAGGAGAGGTACGCGCTCAGTTCTATTCAACTACAGGATATACAGTGAATCCCGTCCCGGCTGCCAGGCCGCCGCTTTCCCCGTCTCAGTCTACTCCTACAGCGCCGTCTCCGCCGTCTTCGACACGATCCGGCAGCACCCCTGGCTGACGGGAGGTAAATCCGAGCTGCGCGTTGGTGTCTGGAATGCCGGCGCGGGTGTCTGGAAGGGTTTCCTCGACGTAACCGAACAGGACTTGCAGACAGTCATCGATACCAATATCACCGCCTCGTTCGCGTTCTCACGCCAGGTGCTCCTCGCGTTCAAGGAGAACACTGTGGACGCGCGAGGGAAGCGCGGCACGCTCCTGTTCACTGGCGCGACGGCCAGCTTAAGGGGCAACGTCACGACCAGCGCGTTCGCAGCAGGCAAGTTTGCGTTGCGCGCGCTCAGCCAGAGTCTGAACAAGGAGTTTGGGAAGCAGAATATTCACGTACGTACAGCCACGTCTCTCTAGGTTTTTCGTGTTCTGATGCCGCGATGGTTTGTATAGGTGGCCCATGTGAGTATCTTGCTCCTGTTTCTGGCTCCTGATCGACGACCGCTGACTTTGAGCGCGACCTCAGGCTATCATTGACGGAGGTTTGTTTCCTCTTAAACTGCTTAGAGCCCCTGACGAACGTCATCGTTTAACTACAGGCATCCTGACGGATTTGTCGCTTTCGCGTCGCACTGGTTCTGACGCCAGCAAGGAATGGAAGGAGAACTCCAACATCCGCCTGGACCCTGACAGCATCGCTAAGGCGAGTGGCTCGGGCTACTTCGGATTTCATACCGACGGCGCTAACTCTGATTAAATCCCACAGTCCTACCTCTACCTCGTCGACCAGGACCAGTCTGCCTGGACCTGGGAGCTCGATTGTAAGCCAATCTGCTAGTCTCTAGCCCGGTCAATCTGATTTTTCGACCACTGCAGTGCGTCCGGCACACGAGAAGTGGTGAAGTAAAGGAAGGGCAGGAGTAGTTCACAATTTGGATCGGGTTGTGAAATTGCGCATCACCGTATCTTTTGTACCAATAACATCATGGTGACCCTGGAAGGAATTCGTCGTTTGAGATAACTTCGCGTTTGAAGTTTTATCCACTAACAGTGAGGTGAAAAATGTTGTTTCGTAACTGGAGGCATGTCCGTCACGGTGGCATAGCGAGATTCCTAGATTCCTATTCCAGTCTGTCCGGCATTATATGGAGATAACCAGGCTCCTAGAACCAATCGTCGAGGAGCGTTCTCGTTCCAATCTCTCACTACGGTATTCTGTGCTAA